AATGTGTTTTTGCTAATTACAATTAGTTTAATAAAAAAAAGTTTGAACTATTATTGTAAATAAAACAATAGAAACAAGGTCTAAAATTTAAAAAACTATCACAAAGAACAAAAAAGAAAAAGTAAATGACGATACTGAAAAAACTGACCTTCTGAATGAGGATAGTAATTGATACTACTAAATAAATACCATTTGGTATTGATGGCTTTCTTAATAAATTTTTTTTAATGAAGTTATATTTTTATTAAAATTTCTGTTTGAAAAAGCTAAGTATTTTTATATTAAAATATATAATAAATTGGCAATGCCTACAAACAGTTTGGAATAATAAAGTATTTGTTATAACAACATTCATTAAGTTTTATATATTTAGCTCTAGAAAACAATCACTCATTATATACAATGGACATATAAAAAACTAAAGACAAATTATTAAAGTGCTTTTGGAAAATGAAACATAATATAAAGTAACACAAAAAATTACATTCACTATTATGAATATAATGTGAGTTTACATTAATTCAACATATCAGTTTGATATTTGTTCTATAAAAAATAATTATTTATTAAATATATTATTTTCAAAATTTTATGAATACTAAAGTAAAAACATTTTTCATATTTCATTAGAGTGAAATTATTTCCATCACATTTAGTTTAATATAAAAATAGATAAAAATATAGAATTTCTTAAAATAACTGAAAATAAAAATTTTAAGCACTTTAAAAATTATATTTTATAATTTATAGCTTAAAATTTATATAATTTAACAATTTAGCAATATTAAATGCAAAAAAAACATTATTTTGATTCAATCAGTTATGCATGAAATACTTGACAAGTTCATTTGACAAGAAAATATAAAACCTTTTATGCTATATTTAATCAAAACCAATGTATAAATAAAACATTTCTCAAAAATATTAAATTTTAAATTTATTTATTTGGCTATACTTCAGGTTATATTTATATTCTTTCATTCTGTTATTTTCTGTTTAAAATTCTAATTTTTTATATATAAGCCTAAAAGTCAAATCGATTGAATAAATAAACAATAATTGTAGTTTATGAAGTCATAAATATAATTAAGCAGTAGATTTAAACATTTAGTTTATATTTATCATAAATATTAAATATTTAAATCTGAATAAAGGACATAAAAATTATTTAATTAGCATTTTAGTATAGCATTTTATTCAAAACTGAATTATAATTACTTCCTAAAATATTGAAATAAAAAATATCAGTCTCTAAATACAGTATTTAAATAAAATATAATAAAAATATTTTTTTAAATGAATTTTTAGATGAACTCATCCTCTTGAAGAACGTTATAAATTTTAGTTATAAATTAATGCAGTTAATATTTTTATATTATTTCTACATAAAAAGCTAATAGTTTGAATTAAAAAACTTTCAGATATAATCAATTCCATCACACAGTTTGATAACACTATATTAGCCTATAGAGGTAATAATTTGATTTGAAAATAAATATATTCTTAATTTAATTATAATATCTAAATTAAGTATTATTTAAAATATTACCTAATATTTTAATAATTTAGTATCATCATATAATTATGATACTGACCCAAAAATTTTATTAATGATGACTAATAAAATAACAACCATAAATGTCATCAAATACAAGACATTTGTTTAAATCAGGATATGCATGAACTTTTTAAAAAAGATTTTAAATGTGCTAAATTAATGTATATGCTTTTAATAAAAGAGTATAAATGACATCAATAAAATAAGAGAATGAAGGGGAGCCTGAAATGCATATCCCAAATGAAACATCTGCTGATTGAGAATGGCTTCTTGAAGAAATAAAAAAATAGTTTCAAACCATAGATTAAAAAACATGTTTTGATAAAATAATAAATAAACAGCTAATAAAATATTCCTAAATTCACAATATTCTGTAGTTTTGTTTTAAATTAAAAGAATAAAAACAAACATACCTGTTAGGTAGTTACTCAAGAGTCTGTTGCATCTCTAAAATCTAGCAGTGTGTTTGTTATATTTAACTTGATGTTTCATACATATATCATCAGAATATTTTTGGTAATTACTTTTACTAGTGAAAATCATTTTTATTTGGCTAGTATAACTATTTTTATCTTCTATAAATATTTTAGTAATTTCAAATGAATGGACAAGTTTATGATAAAGATAAATACATTTAAAATACAGAAATCAGAATTTAAAGGGAGTGTTTTGTCACTAATTACACAATGCTTAATGTTAACCTGGATATTAATGAATTTTTAATGATAAATATTTCTCTACATACTAGACATCAATATTTGATGACATTTATGGTTGTTATTTTACTAGTCATCATTAATAAAATTTTTAGGCCAGTATTATAATTATATGGCGATACTAAATTACTAAAATAATATTCAATTTAGATATTTTAATTAAATTAAGAATATATTTATTCCCAAACCATATTATTACCTTTCATATAAACAACAATCAAATATAAGCTATGATATAATTGTAACACTATACTACATTTTTCACATATAGATATTTCTTACAATTAAATAGAAATTTCAATAAATAAATGTTAAAAATACAAATTTCATCACAAAACTGTAAACAAATCACACAAACAATCCGAAACAATTAATACAATTGTTAGATTGTTTTTAAGGATTTATAATCATAGCTTATCTTCGACCATTTACACCTTCCACATTACAATCTCAATTATAAAAGTATATATTATTTACAATTAAATAAAAATTTTAATGAATAACTGTAACAGATACATTTAAATTTCGCCGTTTAAAACGTCGGTAAACAAATCACACGAAAGCCTCTCCGCACAAATAATCTATGTTAATTTATTAAATAATTATATGATATAAACAAAATAGGGGTATTTAATCAAGTTTAAATCTCCATCTGTAATAAATTACATTCCATTGGCTCTTTAAATGTTAATTATGTAGTATATAAAAACACATTTTATGGATGTAGAAATGATGCTAGAATGTTATANAATTTTTTAAAAATATAATAATTAATTTTTAAATGCTTGGCGCGGCGGTTGCGATTTTGTTTCATTCGCATCAATTTTCTTCCATTCTCTTTCTAACTGTTGATCGTAAGCCTCTGTTAACCTCTGAATCCCCTAGAATTCAAATATAGAAAAAAAAAACCTCTGACTGATTAAATATTAACATAATTCGTGCAAATATATAAATCATCAAAATAAAAATTAGATCGTGCGTGTACCGATTTTTGAAAGCATTCATTATTCAGTTCTTTATATGCATAATTATCTAGGGTTTCTTCGCATTCTTTTAATCGATACGCTTGATATATTAAAACCTCTAGATTCAAATCTGTAAGATGAAATGGAGAAGAGAAAATTGTGCAGATTATAATAAAATATTTTATAAAAAAAAATATATATATATTTAAAAATTTACCTACTGTCCATAGGTTTATCACATTTTACAGACCAATCTTTCTTCCATGATTGTTTCCTTAATTTTTCACGAAAATTCTTAACCCGCTGTTCTGTAAGCACGTAATGTTTCGGGTTATCTGAAACCTATGTAAAAATAGACCAAAAAATGCATATTTTTATAGAAATTTTAACATTAAATTTAATTAAAATTTACCTTATCCATATAATCTTTTAGTTTGACGTCTTTAGATAGATCTAAAATGGTTTCCCATACAACAGCATGATTGAGATCTTCTAACCACGAATCTAGCAATTCTTCGGCTTCTTCGTCTCCAAATTCCTATACAGGATCCATATATAATGCTTTAAATCGGAAACTTTTATGTATAAATTTATAAAATATTCGGTTTTAATGTAAAGTTAAATAAACGCTTACAAAAATTGTAAAATTTGACAGTATTTATTCTATTATTCTTTGTATTTTATGGTTAAATGAAGACATGATTAAAGTTTAAAAAATTGTATAAAGGAAGAAAATTTTAATTATTTAAATAAATCTTTAAAATTTATTATAAAATGAGTAATATCCACCATAGAGATAGGCCTATAGATACAAAACCTTCATATAGATGAAGGATTTAGCAATTTTATCATCAACATAATCTAATTATCAAATATTTTTTTATATATAAAACCTTCAATACAGATGAAGGTTTTATCATCTACATAAATGATCAGTTTTCTAGTAATTGAGATTCTAGTATTAAAAAAAAAAGGTAACATGAACTATAATTTTATTTAAATATGGCAGACAGATGTTTAGTAAATGAATTTTAGAAGTAATATTAAATTTCATCATCTCTCACAGTATGAAAGAAGTAGGTTATGATTCATCAAAGTCTGAATAATATGAATGTTTTCAGCATTAAAACTGTAATTATATAAAAAATTTGTAAGATTTATATTATTAAAATTTAATTTAATAATCACTTTACAGCTATAAAATAAATAATAAATTAAAAAAAAAATCATAAATATAAGCCAGGTAATTAAGAGTTTTAATATATTCTACTTGATCTTTAAGCTATTGTAACCCAATTTTAAAGATTTTAGCTCAGGAAAATGTAGAAGATTAAAGAAACATTTGTTGTTTTATTAATTCTACATTAAATAAATAAATAATCTAAATAACAGTATTCTATATTAAGTGAAAAAATACAAAACTCTATTATAGAATAAATTTCCGTTGCATGCAATGGTTGACTCCAAATATGTAAATACTCACGGGTCTCGCTCTATGAATTAAAATATAATGATAACTGTTAATTATAAGTTTTATATTAAGCTTCAATTATATTATATAATTAAGAGATTAAAATTTACCTGACAGGAACGGGCACAGGAACCGGTGCCTGAAAAATAATTATATAAAATTTATCGAATAAAAACAAAATTATATTAGTTGAATAAAGATAAATACTATATTCTGCTTGGGTAGAGATTCGACTTTGATAATATAATTGGAAGAACGGAAGTAAGGACAAGGATGAGATTCTCCTATATCGGGAAGGATTTTTATAGGAAGTACTCCTTGGCTCTCCTGATCTACATCTTGAGTCGAATCCACCGGTTTAAAAGCGGTCTAAATATAAATAAATGTTTTAAATTAAACAATTTAGATAGTAATTAGGAGAAATCATCCCTTTGTCTTACCATGTTTGTTGTCGTTGGTGTCCTAGGAAACTACACACGAAAACAGATGCTAGTAGACGACTCTAGAAATGAGCGAAGGAGACGAAAAGAAGTAGATTTTGATCGTTTCCTAAGTTAAAATTGCTTTTTAATTGGTTACTATTTAGTAAGTTAAAGAATTTTATGTAATTCCCAACAATGGAAACTTCTTTATGAGGCTATAAAACATTTATAAAGCTCTTTATTTGTCACGATTGATTAAATAGAATCTTGAAAAGTTAAGGAGATCGCCTTAACTGAAGATGAAATTAAAAAGATAAATTTATTAGTTTTCAATTGGGGAAAGTGCTAGGAACGTTTTCGGTTGTGTTCCTAAACTCGAACGTCCTTTAACAAGAAGTAACGGACGAAATTCGAGAAAGTGTGAAAGAGGGATGAGCCAATTAAACGTCCCGAAAGGAGGTAATTTGCGGTCCCACCAACAAAGTTTGACTAAAAACAAACTTTCAATTACGCGACTCAATCTAGTTTATCGCCTCTTTTGATTTTTTTCGGTTCGGAGTGGGAGAGTTCTTTCTTCTCGTCGGTTGCACCAGCGAGCAAACAAAGAGGATAAGCGAAAAAAATCGCCCAACCTGTCTTATCAGTATCACCGCCATTTAACAAGCTAGATGGGTGTTGATGAAAGGTGGCGGTTCATTACATCGGCTCTTTTCAGTATCCTGATGATGACGTTCATTAACAAGGCGTCCGAAGCACAAAAACCTCCGACACGATCGCCAACCGTTTTAAAAGAGAAGTTTTCTTTAAAGAACTACAGAAATGCACATTATTCCATTCAAGTAACATAATGAGACGGGCCGAGTCGAACGCGTTTATGACGATGTCTTTTTTTCCTCCCCACTTTTCTTTTCTTCGCTCGCTCCTCCATTCTCATTGATGAAGAATTGATAGTTAATCAATAACGGACCCTAGCATCAAAAACTGTTGATAACTGCTCTTAATGCTGTCGACTCGCCACTTCACTTTCTACACCGAATCGGAATCTTAATCGTTATTAAGGCCTCTTGTCCCGACTTATGACTATTGATTTTTCCAACAACACGATCCATAAGGGGGTATCAGCTCCTGTATGCCTGATTAGACCCACGGAGTTCCCATTTACTGCTGATAGTAAATGTGCGACATATATTTGGCGTTTGCTTTTTTCTTCTCTGCTCTTAAAGACTCTTTCGTAAGATACTTTGCGCCTAGTCGGTGGTCTGTTAGTCGCGACTCCCATCATGTTGGCTTCATCCGATGCAATTCACACTCCGGACAAATTGTGTAGTGGACGTCGCACGTCGTTCCTCATCAGAGATATATTACCGGACACTAGTGCTAGTTCGGCTTCTATCGAAGTGGATAAAATACCCTCTACTAATCTATGGGATTCCAGGCCTTGCGAACAAGCATTTCTCTTCGCTTCCAGAAATCCTCTGGAGAAGAGTGTTTGCGCCAACGCTCTACCTCTCTGTTGCCTCAACTGCTCGCCCACCTGGCATACAGGTAAGGCAACTTTTCTAGCCTCTAACTCTCTCTACTTTCTTTTGTTTACATTTTATACACTTAGGCCTAAGTTATTTGAAACTTGCAAACTGTACCGAGCAATCCTTCAATAATATACATACCGCTTTTAATTTCGTCCCGTAAACGAAAGTGTCTCTTTTATTCCGTAGCAACGCAATTTCAACAACAAACGAAACATTAAGTTAAATTAAAATAATTCATAGGCTATATATATGGGATCATTTGCATCCGAAACAGGTGTAAGATTGCGCGTGTCGAATGGTTTAAGACGATCGCGGAAAGACTAAAGCTTTACTTTATGTAAGTTTAATATAGGAATTAAAGAGTAAAAGAAACTCATAAAGTAAATTAGATTTACTAGAAGGTCATCTCCTGGATTTATAATAACTCTTCGAGTATTAAAACTACATAAACACGGAAGCAGTGTTTCGCTCATGCCATCTTGATAGATTCGCAATACACAAATTTGCAAAGCAACTGCCTTTAGAATAACGTCATAAAATTATGTTTTAAATACATAGAAAATATCTTCATTAATTCTTTTCATTAAAACTCCATTAATTCTTAAAGGCCTTTAGGTTTTAGTAACTAAAATGTTACCAAAGATGGAAAACTGAAATTTGGTGAAGATAGTTTTTAAATTAATAGGTCGACGAGGTAACATTACATCCGAATTTTTCAGTTTAGATTCATTAAGACAGAATTTCTAATACTGAATTTTATATAGGATTAATTAATATCGCGAAATATTAAAAGAGACAAACCAAATATCTCATTCCATTTATAGGAAATGTTCAAAATAATGAATTTATAGAGAAATTAAGGGTTTAATTAAGGTGTTGTCATGGTTAAAATTTCTAAAATTATATCATATCATATTTCTTCCTAAATTCTAATCTTCCTACTTTAATTTTCACATCTAACTGAATACACGAATTTGATTTCCATTAGAAAAGCATTCATATTCAAAGCCTTTCAACAGAGGCCTGAGCCACTTATCTTTTTGATGCTCTCTAATAAATTTAAAATATCTTTAATTATATTTTTTAGAGTGTAATTTAAATAATAAAATTTGGCAAAAATAAAGATGTTTTTTCTTAATACACAAAAAAAAAAAATCCAACGGAATGAGTGATTTATAGAAAAAAATTTTTTTGAGTCTACTATAAATGTGAAACCCGCGCCAAATAGTCTTATTGACATCCCAGAGAGAAGGCCTGCATTTATGCGTAATATACAGTGTTTTCCTAGAGTAGAAATTCATTTACTAAGACTTCATTAGACCTACAGGTTTAATTTTGTCTTGCTGTAGTAATTCAGCGTAAATTTCAGCGCTAGTACGATGCAATACACTCTAAAGTGATGATGTAACAAGAATTATGTTTAGTTTCAAAATATGTTTTAAAAATATAAACTGAATTTTCATTTTAATAGAAAAAATATAACTTTTTTCCTCAACTAAAAAGGATAAAAATTATTTTATTCTAGTTTATAAGACCAATTTCAGAATATAAATTGAATAAGTAAGAGGCCTGGCTAGATGCAAATCTAGTAAATTTGTAAATTGAAACTTCAAAATTTATCTCTTAAAACTTTTAAATGGGAAATATATTTTGTGAATTACATATAAGCTAGAATATAAGAGTTATTCTTCTCTTCCTTTTAAGAACATTTCAAAGAAACATTTATTTTTTTTAATCTTGAAAATAAACTTATATTTAACGATAATTCGTCTTAAATATTATTACATATTTCAGAAATTTATATAATTAAATTATTTATAGAACTAGAAAATACAGAGAGTTCAATACACCTAATACCAAACACGACGAAAATAAAATTTATTCGGCGATTATGAACCTCCAGAAACAGCAAATCTAACATTTCTGTTAAACAAATTGATAAATACATAAATTAATTTTAAAAAATCAAATCATAATGGACTACAAGACCTATAAATTCCCACTATCGCCCGTCTTTCATTAATTTCGAGAACGGAGTTGAATAGATGAAAGACAAGACCAGATATGGAAACCTTAAGGGCAGAAGGACCCGATTAACTATATACGAACTTCAGGTGTGTAACAGAAATTATGTTATTTCAATTGAAAATTTTTCTCCCAGAGGTGGATGACCGGCATGACTCTATTCTTAAAGGGAAAGTATGATGTACAGGGGCAAGATAACTACTAAAGTCAAAGCCTACGTTTTAAATTTATTTAATTTAAAAATTAAAAATTGCAGCCAGGAATTGTGACGATGTGACATTTTGATAATTGCTCGTTTCTTAATAGGCATCTTAAATATCGAATAACGTTAGAGAATTGACGTTAAGAGCTAAATAAAATGGTTCTCGTAGCCGAATATACAATTTTAAAGATAATATATTCGAATATAGTCATCGATACAGTAGAAACGAAAAAGGATTTAAGAATTTCTGAAAGACGTTTGTAATTTTATCGTAATTACGGTGTTAGAAACGAGAAAGTCCTAAATTGAAAAAGAATGGAAGTAGGAGAGAGTGTGAGTGGCAACGACGTCGGGGAACATTTTCATAGATCATTACATCGAAGATCGGTTTCTGAACAATTGATTCCTGTTTTTCTGCAATCGTTACTATTCTACTGGGGAGAGAAGGGGATGGAAGAACATCCTCCTCCTCCGATTTGTACGCTTATAATCTTTGTATCAATGTCGAAAGTCAGTTTACCTGAAGGAAATACATTTCTTCCACTAAATTAATAATTTTCTATTCTTTTCCCATCCTAGAAAATTCATTACTATCAAGTACTATTCGAACTAGTTAATAAAGATGTGGTCATTTATGTAGGCCTACTCTTGTATTATAAAAAAGGACTAATTCCGAGTCGTATAAGGAATATTTTGGGTAAGTTTATACGGAAATATGTTGAAAATTAGTAAATTATTGTAATTTTGAGTGGAAGGTAACTAAAATTCCGAACTAACAATTTTATAAGTAAGTCTTATATACTCTTAAACGTTTTTGGCGTTAATGTAACATACAGTTGTCCCACATGGATTAGCCTATGTGGAACAACTGGGAATTTTTTCGTTAGTAAGTTTACAAGTAAACATAGAATAAGAAAGCAATGTACTGTACTTCACGCAGAATTCACAATATAGATTTATATAGACAATTTATCCTTTCACTACCGTTTTCAAAACTCATAATTTTTATTACTTCCTAATTCAAATTACTACTACTGTTATTATAATGAAAAAAATAAACACGTTTACGATTCCATTAAACATTTAATTAGGAAACAAAAGTTTTCATTTGATTTTATAAATCAACCCAAGTTTACTTTCTAAAAATTACATAAAAATAAGCCAAGAAAGCTTAATTTCTTAATTAAATGCTTTGTAATATTGAAGATATTTGTTTATTTTATAATAATTTTATTTTCAAGAGAATATATATATATAGGCTAATTGTAATGTAAGGAAATTTATATATAAAATTAACGCATTAAAAATGAAGGCTAAAATATAGGCCTACGTGTTTAGAAATAGACAATACATACTTTTTAGGATAAGAAAAAAATGGCATAAGATAAACATTTCTGTAACGAAATATAAACTGAATGCAACCGAAACTCATGCTGTAGGCCATAGATTTTCTAATTACCTGTGTAGGCTGTACAGTCTACATAATCCTTCGCAAGTTTATATATATAAAGTAATATAGGCCGTTAAATTTATATATATACGTGTTATACAGTATATTACCTTGTTTAACTTTTGAATATATTGTATTTTTTAAGAAAATGAAAACATAGTCGGAAAAGTTTATGCATTTTCCAAACGAATCTTATATTTATTTCATCTTGATCAAGGATCTTGTCTTTTACTATATTAAAAACATTTATTTTTTAAATTTAACTATAATCGTGTATCCTTTTGTAGTTCATTCTGATCGCAGCGTGCACGCTGCGATTAGAATAAGCTGCATTATTTATGTAAAATACATGAATTATTTGCATATTTTGTAAAATCGTTTTCCATGTTGCATGATGAATTTTTCATAAAATCTATCAATTTATATTTGAGTAAGATTCTGTAAGTGAAAAAGTACACGGCAAATTTCGTATAAAAAATCTCTTCCGAATCAAATTGTAACGTGAAATACATAAAATAATATATAGATGTTTCACAATACGGAAGAAATATATACATAGTTTAAAGAGAAACCAGAAAGCTTTATATTAATACGAAAAATTATANTAATAATTTAGTATCATCATATAATTATGATACTGACCCAAAAATTTTATTAATGATGACTAATAAAATAACAACCATAAATGTCATCAAATACAAGACATTTGTTTAAATCAGGATATGCATGAACTTTTTAAAAAAGATTTTAAATGTGCTAAATTAATGTATATGCTTTTAATAAAAGAGTATAAATGACATCAATAAAATAAGAGAATGAAGGGGAGCCTGAAATGCATATCCCAAATGAAACATCTGCTGATTGAGAATGGCTTCTTGAAGAAATAAAAAAATAGTTTCAAACCATAGATTAAAAAACATGTTTTGATAAAATAATAAATAAACAGCTAATAAAATATTCCTAAATTCACAATATTCTGTAGTTTTGTTTTAAATTAAAAGAATAAAAACAAACATACCTGTTAGGTAGTTACTCAAGAGTCTGTTGCATCTCTAAAATCTAGCAGTGTGTTTGTTATATTTAACTTGATGTTTCATACATATATCATCAGAATATTTTCGGTAATTACTTTTACTAGTGAAAATCATTTTTATTTGGCTAGTATAACTATTTTTATCTTCTATAAATATTTTAGTAATTTCAAATGAATGGACAAGTTTATGATAAAGATAAATACATTTAAAATACAGAAATCAGAATTTAAAGGGAGTGTTTTGTCACTAATTACACAATGCTTAATGTTAACCTGGATATTAATGAATTTTTAATGATAAATATTTCTCTACATACTAGACATCAATATTTGATGACATTTATGGTTGTTATTTTACTAGTCATCATTAATAAAATTTTTAGGCCAGTATTATAATTATATGGCGATACTAAATTACTAAAATAATATTCAATTTAGATATTTTAATTAAATTAAGAATATATTTATTCCCAAACCATATTATTACCTTTCATATAAACAACAATCAAATATAAGCTATGATATAATTGTAACACTATACTACATTTTTCACATATAGATATTTCTTACAATTAAATAGAAATTTCAATAAATAAATGTTAAAAATACAAATTTCATCACAAAACTGTAAACAAATCACACAAACAATCCGAAACAATTAATACAATTGTTAGATTGTTTTTAAGGATTTATAATCATAGCTTATCTTCGACCATTTACACCTTCCACATTACAATCTCAATTATAAAAGTATATATTATTTACAATTAAATAAAAATTTTAATGAATAACTGTAACAGATACATTTAAATTTCGCCGTTTAAAACGTCGGTAAACAAATCACACGAAAGCCTCTCCGCACAAATAATCTATGTTAATTTATTAAATAATTATATGATATAAACAAAATAGGGGTATTTAATCAAGTTTAAATCTCCATCTGTAATAAATTACATTCCATTGGCTCTTTAAATGTTAATTATGTAGTATATAAAAACACATTTTATGGATGTAGAAATGATGCTAGAATGTTATAGAATGTGTTTATCATGTATAAAAATAATAATAATTTCACACCTTTCACATTCATACATGTACTTACACCAATCGAAGATTTGGTCATTCAACTCAACATGGAGAGTTAACCATTAATGAAAACAATACGAATTTTAAATAAAACTAGATTATAATATATAAATAATAGGAGTAAATTAAGGAATGAAAGAAAGAGAAAAAGTAAATGATGATGGAGATTGAATTGAGAGTGAGAGAGAGGGAGGGAGAGATGAAAAGCAACTGAGATTTATATTTTTTGTTTGCTTTTTTGACACTCACCCGCAGTGAAACTTAAAAAGGAAACGAAAGACGTTAGAAAGAGACATGTCCTCCTCCAAATCATCTCATCCACGCCGAATCAATCCAAACATTTCTTGATTTTAATCCTTTTTTTTCCGATCAAAAATGCAGAAAATCAGACGACGATCGAACGCTTCTTCGTTGCTAATGGCAACAGCAACGCTTCACCTTTGACCCCCTCGTATAAAACTATTTCTTTTAGAAAATTTTTTATTACATTATAACTTGATAAAAATTATTTATAAACGATAAAATATATTATAAAATAACTTAAACGATATTATAAAATTAAAATTATTCATATCGTATCTTATTGGTTCGCGATAGTAGGAATGTCGCCGATTCAAGGTATTCGCCCGAGGCATATAACTTCACTTTTTTTTTTCCATAAATTTTAAATAAATTTTAGAATAAAATATAACAATAAACTGAATCTTTTTAAAAATTAAGGTAAGATTTTTAAAGAATAAAAATTACATTATAAAATTTCAATTTTTAAATATAATTCTAGTTTTTTTATTATTATTATTATTATTATTATTATTTACATAGCGCCATCTCTTGAACGAAATTAGAACTTTGCCTAGATTAATCTATTGCAATAATTCAAATATGAAATAAATTAAATCATTGGTTTATTTTAAAAATAAAATATAATAAAACAGATAAAATTCGAAATTTAAATTAAAATTTAAATAATTATACCTTAATCGGTAAATTTTTATTGTTTAGCATAATTTAATAAGGAAAAATCAAGCGATTTATTAATCATTATTTTTTTTATTTATTAATAATAAATAAACAAACAAATTTAATGTTTAGACTAATTCATAATTTCGACAGCAGAGGGCGATAGATGAATACATTTTTTAAAAATATATATAATTTCTTATACCAAAACTAAACATTTTTTTTTGTATTTATTTAATTTTTTAAAAATATAATAATTAATTTTTAAATGCTTGGCGCGGCGGTTGCGATTTTGTTTCATTCGCATCAATTTTCTTCCATTCTCTTTCTAACTGTTGATCGTAAGCCTCTGTTAACCTCTGAATCCCCTAGAATTCAAATATAGAAAAAAAAAACCTCTGACTGATTAAATATTAACATAATTCGTGCAAATATATAAATCATCAAAATAAAAATTAGATCGTGCGTGTACCGATTTTTGAAAGCATTCATTATTCAGTTCTTTATATGCATAATTATCTAGGGTTTCTTCGCATTCTTTTAATCGATACGCTTGATATATTAAAACCTCTAGATTCAAATCTGTAAGATGAAATGGAGAAGAGAAAATTGTGCAGATTATAATAAAATATTTTATAAAAAAAAATATATATATATTTAAAAATTTACCTACTGTCCATAGGTTTATCACATTTTACAGACCAATCTTTCTTCCATGATTGTTTCCTTAATTTTTCACGAAAATTCTTAACCCGCTGTTCTGTAAGCACGTAATGTTTCGGGTTATCTGAAACCTATGTAAAAATAGACCAAAAAATGCATATTTTTATAGAAATTTTAACATTAAATTTAATTAAAATTTACCTTATCCATATAATCTTTTAGTTTGACGTCTTTAGATAGATCTAAAATGGTTTCCCATACAACAGCATGATTGAGATCTTCTAACCACGAATCTAGCAATTCTTCGGCTTCTTCGTCTCCAAATTCCTATACAGGATCCATATATAATGCTTTAAATCGGAAACTTTTATGTATAAATTTATAAAATATTCGGTTTTAATGTAAAGTTAAATAAACGCTTACAAAAATTGTAAAATTTGACAGTATTTATTCTATTATTCTTTGTATTTTATGGTTAAATGAAGACATGATTAAAGTTTAAAAAATTGTATAAAGGAAGAAAATTTTAATTATTTAAATAAATCTTTAAAATTTATTATAAAATGAGTAATATCCACCATAGAGATAGGCCTATAGATACAAAACCTTCATATAGATGAAGGATTTAGCAATTTTATCATCAACATAATCTAATTATCAAATATTTTTTTATATATAAAACCTTCAATACAGATGAAGGTTTTATCATCTACATAAATGATCAGTTTTCTAGTAATTGAGATTCTAGTATTAAAAAAAAAAGGTAACATGAACTATAATTTTATTTAAATATGGCAGACAGATGTTTAGTAAATGAATTTTAGAAGTAATATTAAATTTCATCATCTCTCACAGTATGAAAGAAGTAGGTTATGATTCATCAAAGTCTGAATAATATGAATGTTTTCAGCATTAAAACTGTAATTATATAAAAAATTTGTAAGATTTATATTATTAAAATTTAATTTAATAATCACTTTACAGCTATAAAATAAATAATAAATTAAAAAAAAAATCATAAATATAAGCCAGGTAATTAAGAGTTTTAATATATTCTACTTGATCTTTAAGCTATTGTAACCCAATTTTAAAGATTTTAGCTCAGGAAAATGTAGAAGATTAAAGAAACATTTGTTGTTTTATTAATTCTACATTAAATAAATAAATAATCTAAATAACAGTATTCTATATTAAGTGAAAAAATACAAAACTCTATTATAGAATAAATTTCCGTTGCATGCAATGGTTGACTCCAAATATGTAAATACTCACGGGTCTCGCTCTATGAATTAAAATATAATGATAACTGTTAATTATAAGTTTTATATTAAGCTTCAATTATATTATATAATTAAGAGATTAAAATTTACCTGACAGGAACGGGTACAGGAACCGGTGCCTGAAAAATAATTATATAAAATTTATCGAATAAAAACAAAATTATATTAGTTGAATAAAGATAAATACTATATTCTGCTTGGGTAGAGATTCGACTTTGATAATATAATTGGAAGAACGGAAGTAAGGACAAGGATGAGATTCTCCTATATCGGGAAGGATTTTTATAGGAAGTACTCCTTGGCTCTCCTGATCTACATCTTGAGTCGAATCCACCGGTTTAAAAGCGGTCTAAATATAAATAAATGTTTTAAATTAAACAATTTAGATAGTAATTAGGAGAAATCATCCCTTTGTCTTACCATGTTTGTTGTCGTTGGTGTCCTAGGAAACTACACACGAAAACAGATGCTAGTAGACGACTCTAGAAATGAGCGAAGGAGACGAAAAGAAGTAGATTTTGATCGTTTCCTAAGTTAAAATTGCTTTTTAATTGGTTACTATTTAGTAAGTTAAAGAATTTTATGTAATTCCCAACAATGGAAACTTCTTTATGAGGCTATAAAACATTTATAAAGCTCTTTATTTGTCACGATTGATTAAATAGAATCTTGAAAAGTTAAGGAGATCGCCTTAACTGAAGATGAAATTAAAAAGATAAATTTATTAGTTTTCAATTGGGGAAAGTGCTAGGAACGTTTTCGGTTCTGTTCCTAAACTCGAACGTCCTTTAACAAGAAGTAACGGACGAAATTCGAGAAAGTGTGAAAGAGGGATGAGCCAATTAAACGTCCCGAAAGGAGGTAATTTGCGGTCCCACCAACAAAGTTTGACTAAAAACAAACTTTCAATTACGCGACTCAATCTAGTTTATCGCCTCTTTTGATTTTTTTCGGTTCGGAGTGGGAGAGTTCTTTCTTCTCGTCGGTTGCACCAGCGAGCAAACAAAGAGGATAAGCGAAAAAAATCGCCCAACCTGTCTTATCAGTATCACCGCCATTTAACAAGCTAGATGGGTGTTGATGAAAGGTGGCGGTTCATTACATCGGCTCTTTTCAGTATCCTGATGATGACGTTCATTAACAAGGCGTCCGAAGCACAAAAACCTCCGACACGATCGCCAACCGTTTTAAAAGAGAAGTTTTCTTTAAAGAACTACAGAAATGCACATTATTCCATTCAAGTAACATAATGAGACGGGCCGAGTCGAACGCGTTTATGACGATGTCTTTTTTTCCTCCCCACTTTTCTTTTCTTCGCTCGCTCCTCCATTCTCATTGATGAAGAATTGATAGTTAATCAATAACGGACCCTAGCATCAAAAACTGTTGATAACTGCTCTTAATGCTGTCGACTCGCCACTTCACTTTCTACACCGAATCGGAATCTTAATCGTTATTAAGGCCTCTTGTCCCGACTTATGACTATTGATTTTTCCAACAACACGATCCATAAGGGGGTATCAGCTCCTGTATGCCTGATTAGACCCACGGAGTTCCCATTTACTGCTGATAGTAAATGTGCGACATATATTTGGCGTTTGCTTTTTTCTTCTCTGCTCTTAAAGACTCTTTCGTAAGATACTTTGCGCCTAGTCGGTGGTCTGTTAGTCGCGACTCCCATCATGTTGGCTTCATCCGATGCAATTCACACTCCGGACAAATTGTGTAGTGGACGTCGCACGTCGTTCCTCATCAGAGATATATTACCGGACACTAGTGCTAGTTCGGCTTCTATCGAAGTGGATAAAATACCCTCTACTAATCTATGGGATTCCAGGCCTTGCGAACAAGCATTTCTCTTCGCTTCCAGAAATCCTCTGGAGAAGAGTGTTTGCGCCAACGCTCTACCTCTCTGTTGCCTCAACTGCTCGCCCACCTGGCATACAGGTAAGGCAACTTTTCTAGCCTCTAACTCTCTCTACTTTCTTTTGTTTACATTTTATACACTTAGGCCTAAGTTATTTGAAACTTGCAAACTGTACCGAGCAATCCTTCAATAATATACATACCGCTTTTAATTTCGTCCCGTAAACGAAAGTGTCTCTTTTATTCCGTAGCAACGCAATTTCAACAACAAACGAAACATTAAGTTAAATTAAAATAATTCATAGGCTATATATATGGGATCATTTGCATCCGAAACAGGTGTAAGATTGCGCGTGTCGAATGGTTTAAGACGATCGCGGAAAGACTAAAGCTTTACTTTATGTAAGTTTAATATAGGAATTAAAGAGTAAAAGAAACTCATAAAGTAAATTAGATTTACTAGAAGGTCATCTCCTGGATTTATAATAACTCTTCGAGTATTAAAACTACATAAACACGGAAGCAGTGTTTCGCTCATGCCATCTTGATAGATTCGCAATACACAAATTTGCAAAGCAACTGCCTTTAGAATAACGTCATAAAATTATGTTTTAAATACATAGAAAATATCTTCATTAATTCTTTTCATTAAAACTCCATTAATTCTTAAAGGCCTTTAGGTTTTAGTAACTAAAATGTTACCAAAGATGGAAAACTGAAATTTGGTGAAGATAGTTTTTAAATTAATAGGTCGACGAGGTAACATTACATCCGAATTTTTCAGTTTAGATTCATTAAGACAGAATTTCTAATACTGAATTTTATATAGGATTAATTAATATCGCGAAATATTAAAAGAGACAAACCAAATATCTCATTCCATTTATAGGAAATGTTCAAAATAATGAATTTATAGAGAAATTAAGGGTTTAATTAAGGTGTTGTCATGGTTAAAATTTCTAAAATTATATCATATCATATTTCTTCCTAAATTCTAATCTTCCTACTTTAATTTTCACATCTAACTGAATACACGAATTTGATTTCCATTAGAAAAGCATTCATATTCAAAGCCTTTCAACAGAGGCCTGAGCCACTTATCTTTTTGATGCTCTCTAATAAATTTAAAATATCTTTAATTATATTTTTTAGAGTGTAATTTAAATAATAAAATTTGGCAAAAATAAAGATGTTTTTTCTTAATACACAAAAAAAAATCCAACGGAATGAGTGATTTATAGAAAAAAATTGAGTCTACTATAAATGTGAAACCCGCGCCAAATAGTCTTATTGACATCCCAGAGAGAAGGCCTGCATTTATGCGTAATATACAGTGTTTTCCTAGAGTAGAAATTCATTTACTAAGACTTCATTAGACCTACAGGTTTAATTTTGTCTTGCTGTAGTAATTCAGCGTAAATTTCAGCGCTAGTACGATGCAATACACTCTAAAGTGATGATGTAACAAGAATTATGTTTAGTTTCAAAATATGTTTTAAAAATATAAACTGAATTTTCATTTTAATAGAAAAAATATAACTTTTTTCCTCAACTAAAAAGGATAAAAATTATTTTATTCTAGTTTATAAGACCAATTTCAGAATATAAATTGAATAAGTAAGAGGCCTGGCTAGATGCAAATCTAGTAAATTTGTAAATTGAAACTTCAAAATTTATCTCTTAAAACTTTTAAATGGGAAATATATTTTGTGAATTACATATAAGCTAGAATATAAGAGTTATTCTTCTCTTCCTTTTAAGAACATTTCAAAGAAACATTTATTTTTTTAATCTTGAAAATAAACTAATATTTAACGATAATTCGTCTTAAATATTATTACATATTTCAGAAATTTATATAATTAAATTATTTATAGAACTAGAAAATACAGAGAGTTCAATACACCTAATACCAAACACGACGAAAATAAAATTTATTCGGCGATTATGAACCTCCAGAAACAGCAAATCTAACATTTCTGTTAAACAAATTGATAAATACATAAATTAATTTTAAAAAATCAAATCATAATGGACTACAAGACCTATAAATTCCCACTATCGCCCGTCTTTCATTAATTTCGAGAACGGAGTTGAATAGATGAAAGACAAGACCAGATATGGAAACCTTAAGGGCAGAAGGACCCGATTAACTATATACGAACTTCAGGTGTGTAACAGAAATTATGTTATTTCAATTGAAAATTTTTCTCCCAGAGGTGGATGACCGGCATGACTCTATTCTTAAAGGGAAAGTATGATGTACAGGGGCAAGATAACTACTAAAGTCAAAGCCTACGTTTTAAATTTATTTAATTTAAAAATTAAAAATTGCAGCCAGGAATTGTGACGATGTGACATTTTGATAATTGCTCGTTTCTTAATAGGCATCTTAAATATCGAATAACGTTAGAGAATTGACGTTAAGAGCTAAATAAAATGGTTCTCGTAGCCGAATATACAATTTTAAAGATAATATATTCGAATATAGTCATCGATACAGTAGAAACGAAAAAGGATTTAAGAATTTCTGAAAGACGTTTGTAATTTTATCGTAATTACGGTGTTAGAAACGAGAAAGTCCTAAATTGAAAAAGAATGGAAGTAGGAGAGAGTGTGAGTGGCAACGACGTCGGGGAACATTTTCATAGATCATTACATCGAAGATCGGTTTCTGAACAATTGATTCCTGTTTTTCTGCAATCGTTACTATTCTACTGGGGAGAGAAGGGGATGGAAGAACATCCTCCTCCTCCGATTTGTACGCTTATAATCTTTGTATCAATGTCGAAAGTCAGTTTACCTGAAGGAAATACATTTCTTCCACTAAATTAATAATTTTCTATTCTTTTCCCATCCTAGAAAATTCATTACTATCAAGTACTATTCGAACTAGTTAATAAAGATGTGGTCATTTATGTAGGCCTACTCTTGTATTATAAAAAAGGACTAATTCCGAGTCGTATAAGGAATATTTTGGGTAAGTTTATACGGAAATATGTTGAAAATTAGTAAATTATTGTAATTTTGAGTGGAAGGTAACTAAAATTCCGAACTAACAATTTTATAAGTAAGTCTTATATACTCTTAAACGTTTTTGGCGTTAATGTAACATACAGTTGTCCCACATGGATTAGCCTATGTGGAACAACTGGGAATTTTTTCGTTAGTAAGTTTACAAGTAAACATAGAATAAGAAAGCAATGTACTGTACTTCACGCAGAATTCACAATATAGATTTATATAGACAATTTATCCTTTCACTACCGTTTTCAAAACTCATAATTTTTATTACTTCCTAATTCAAATTACTACTACTGTTATTATAATGAAAAAAATAAACACGTTTACGATTCCATTAAACATTTAATTAGGAAACAAAAGTTTTCATTTGATTTTATAAATCAACCCAAGTTTACTTTCTAAAAATTACATAAAAATAAGCCAAGAAAGCTTAATTTCTTAATTAAATGCTTTGTAATATTGAAGATATTTGTTTATTTTATAATAATTTTATTTTCAAGAGAATATATATATATAGGCTAATTGTAATGTAAGGAAATTTATATATAAAATTAACGCATTAAAAATGAAGGCTAAAATATAGGCCTACGTGTTTAGAAATAGACAATACATACTTTTTAGGATAAGAAAAAAATGGCATAAGATAAACATTTCTGTAACGAAATATAAACTGAATGCAACCGAAACTCATGCTGTAGGCCATAGATTTTCTAATTACCTGTGTAGGCTGTACAGTCTACATAATCCTTCGCAAGTTTATATATATAAAGTAATATAGGCCGTTAAATTTATATATATACGTGTTATACAGTATATTACCTTGTTTAACTTTTGAATATATTGTATTTTTTAAGAAAATGAAAACATAGTCGGAAAAGTTTATGCATTTTCCAAACGAATCTTATATTTATTTCATCTTGATCAAGGATCTTGTCTTTTACTATATTAAAAACATTTATTTTTTAAATTTAACTATAATCGTGTATCCTTTTGTAGTTCATTCTGATCGCAGCGTGCACGCTGCGATTAGAATAAGCTGCATTATTTATGTAAAATACATGAATTATTTGCATATTTTGTAAAATCGTTTTCCATGTTGCATGATGAATTTTTCATAAAATCTATCAATTTATATTTGAGTAAGATTCTGTAAGTGAAAAAGTACACGGCAAATTTCGTATAAAAAATCTCTTCCGAATCAAATTGTAACGTGAAATACATAAAATAATATATAGATGTTTCACAATACGGAAGAAATATATACATAGTTTAAAGAGAAACCAGAAAGCTTTATATTAATACGAAAAATTATAAATTTAATATGTCATTTATTTGATAAAAATACTACATTAAACAATAAATGGCGGCGGCCTACGCTTCTTAAGTTATGAGAAGGATTAATTCGTTTCTTGTATTTAACAGTTTTAATTTTACTTTATATATAATTATCTAATATAAACCTAAAGCTTAAAAAAATATGAATAAAATCGAGTAACAAAGACATAAAATTGATAATAATTTTGTTCGCCATCTGCCATTCCGACGCTGGCTTTTGGCATTCAAATTATAGTCAGTTTCATACTATTTCATTGCATATAAATAAGAAATTTGTGATAAAAATATTATTTTTAAAAAATTTAAATAAATTTATATATTTATAAAATAGATTCTTGTGAAATTTCGGAGGAGAATTTGATTGGCACCACACGAAATTGGATAAAATTTGAATACCAAAATTGGTATGGGAATGACTGACGGGGAACTGTGCGAATAAAATATCCAAATAATCATCATTTTCTATAGATATTATGGTAAAATTTTTATCGTTAGAGTAGATGACCCAGAGAAATTCTTTTTGTGACATTTCTAGTGACAAAGACATACGAGTTGTCATCCCGAAACCGCTTATCTTCCAAGGTGATCGCCACTGTATGCCCTCTTCCATCCGTGTCGATTTTCGTGATATCTTAACGCGCGTTTACCCGTGAAGTAAAGGTTATTAATTAGCGATAATTAACAAATTACTTTAAGCTTTGATAATTTACGCCAATTATCAATTTTCGTCTTAAAAAAAAAAAAAAAAAAAAAAAATCGTNAAATTTATTATTTTCCTTCTCTTCTATATACTCTACTAAATAAATTTAAATCGATACGATAAAACTTTGCTCCTCGACATCTACGAAATCAATCATTTGTATTAATTATATTGTTCAATGAATTTTTTAGGTTCAAATGTTACAAACAAGAAGCTAATTTAGTAATTTTCAACAGCCTAGTGAACTCTACCATCAATTTTTCTCGTCTTTCGTGAGAATCTATACTAATGTGATGGGAAAAATGATAGAACTTACTCGACCGTAGACATTTGAAAAACATCTTAAACGAACCGCAACTTATTTCTTTCTGTACCTAATATTTAAATAATATATTTATATAAAAAAGTAACAATTTATAATTCCCATAATTATAAATTCAACCGAACATTTTCAATCTACAACATAAAATATATGCAGAGTTGTATAGAAGTATTTTACCAGATAAATTGTTCTAAAAGCAATTACATTTTTTATATTTTTTTTTTTCTAAAATGTGAATTATTTGAATAATAATTTCCTTACTAAAACATTTAATTCTATGTAATTATATAGCATCTTGATGTTAGAGAAGAAAGAGATGCTATCCTTCCCCTCTTAACTGATTTTTATGCCACCCACTATATATAAAATGCTAATTCTAAACGAATACTCGAAGCAAATAATTTGAATTTGATATTTGAAATAAAAAAGATAACATATTAAAATAGTAGAAGTGTCAATTTAGAATATATATAGGCCTACAGATAACATTTCTACTCAAAGTTTATTTAATTTTTTGAAAAAATAAAAAATAAAGTTAATGGAACGAAAAGGCTGTAATACTTAGAAATTCATTAAGTAATGTCAAATTAAATCTTTTTTTTTATTATTATTATTAAAGAATCTTCATTTGATGTATTTTTTTTCTTAAAAGAAAGTCAAAAGACTGTTAATCTATACTTAATCATGTTTTGGGATGGCATCTTTTTCTAAATAAAGTGCAGATGCGTATTTTTTGATTGTTTAAAGGGTGTAATATGATGCTTTTAAAGAAGTCGATTATTTGTGTAAAGTTCTTAATGGAACTTATTCTCCTGAGAAAATTCAATTTTCAATCGAGTGTTTCCTTTAAGCAAGATCTCATCCATAAAAAAACACTTGGAATTTTGATGGAAGAATTAGAATTATCTTTGATTTTTATAGTAAATTACTCTAAAAATTTACTTTTTTATTAATAAGATGTGGTTAAAATTACTATTTTATATGATCTTTTTCGAGAAATATTTAATCGGCTTTAATTAAACATTTGACTGAAATAAATATCGAGCCAAATAATTTGGCTCGATATTTAATCGTTTAGCGTAGTTTATTGAAAAAAAAAATACCGTCCGTATTTGAAAATTTATAAATGTAAGAATTTATATGGTAAAATGTGTATGATTTATGCATTTATTCAAGCAGGTAATGCAAGGCGGATGCACGGTTCCTCCTACAAAACCGAAAGGGCGACCAAAGAAGAACTCGATTCCATCGTTGAACGAATCGCAAGGGAAGAGCGTACCTTCCATGGGTGATAAGAAGTGTCACTCGCCTTTCTCTCCCTACGCCTCGTCCGACGTGAGAGATCTCTACTAAACGGTTCCTATAGAAGATCATCCTACTTTTTCATAACCTCGCAGGTTAGACCAGATACGGAATGGTTGGCTGTGATTGCCAAGTTCCTCTTTCGCTCATCTCGGATTTGTTCCTCTCCAATCACAACCAATTGATTCGAAAACGTGTCCAACACATTCAGAGATTCTGTCGATGTTTGTCGATTTTCTTAAATAAATTTCGTGTTATTGTCCTCGACGTCTTCCTGTTTTATACTGCCAATTACCCATTGTAGAATTACGATTCGCGTCGATGCACGCTGTAGGAGGACGTTTCGGCTCGTTAAATACTTCTCTATCCGGCTAGACTGATGGTTTTTTTCAGCAGCGGAGTGTTTTATCAATCGTGTCAACCGTTCTCCATCTAAACCATTGACTCCGACCACTGAACCGATGGTTCTGCAAATCGATTCGTTTCGGATTCGAGAGGGAATCCTCCGGATGACAGCAAAGTCGATAATGTTCTGGTGACCGAAAAGGAAAAAATGGCGGTCGATTTTCGACGTCGTTAATTCCAGATTCCTTCGTAGAGGAGAGACAAACAATAAAATTGCTAAATGAAGCGAAATGTTTGATTCGCGCGCGTTAATGTCGGGATAAATGGTTTAATCGAATTCTTCCATACACGCGTTTTAATATACAGCAACCAATTGATTTGTATTATTAAATCAAAGAAAAAAATCAACATCCGAATTATAAAACTTATTCCCAACAAAACAAGCCATTACCTCGATAACCGTGGGAACATTTGAAGTTGCCCACCTCCTTCCTGAAATCTTGTCACTGTATATATTTTATGAATTGCTGTTTATTAAGGAAGGCACACTGAGTGACAAGTGAATTTTCGCTTTGGTGAATTTCTGGTCGATTGATTTCCACTTTAGCATTGACGTTCCTATCCTTCAAATAAAAATAGCTCGGGTTTATCTTGCTTATACTAGAACGCTTCCCTCGTCGGATATATCTCTAATAGATGTTGCTAGCAAATTCTGATGGTGATTTTTTGATCGTACGAAGAATTTTCTCCCTTAATAAATCTTTTTTTTTTCTCAAAGAGTTAACTCGGCTAGCTTATCGAGAAATTACCTAAAAAGAATTAAATTTTTTAGCTAATAGAAGAATAATTTTTCGTTTAAAACGACAATACCTCCATTTTGTATTCGGAATCCTTTTTAAAGCATTTTAAAAGCCTTTCTGGACGAATAAATGACACAATTTATATATCTTGATTCGAACAAAAATTTCGAATGGATAAAGATTTGCCACTTACTAGACATGGACATGTGTATCATGATTTTGTCTCCGATGAACTGTTCAGATTATTTCCTATCTAAAACTTGAATAAAAAAGTTATAAACTTCTATTGATAAAAGAAAGAAAAGACTCTTCTATGGAGATACCATTTATCTCAATCTATAGAGGAACCTTTTCTCTAAAAAAACAGAGTAAAAATTGTCTCAGTAGCGTCATGAATTCTTCAATATTTATTATAACTTCTCTCGAATAAATTAATTCGAATTTATGCTTATAGAAAGTTTTTCGTTCTTGTTTGTTGTGTATAGATTTATATTTCTTTCACCATACTATTCACATTATTTCCTATTTAAATAAGAGTTTCTTTCCTTTTGTCAATAACAGTTTAGAAGTCCTACTAAATTCTTATTGATAAAACAAAAACACAGAGCCTTAATCTAAAGGAACCAAAGGGTTTTTGAATTTTGTGTATCTACGACCTCATTAGTAGCCTTTAAAATATCATCTGTTAAAATTATATTAACGCAAAAGATTTTTTTTTCCAAATTTAAAGCTTGTTTTGACATATTGAAGGAGAAAAACTATTCAAATCCACATCTGTACCTGTAATTGGACTAAAGCAGAGTTTGAATCCTTCATTTAGACTTCAAAATATTAATTAATAAATAATCGTAATAAGATAAGTAAGGCAATAATTTTATACTTCAAATATGTAAAAAAATAGAAACCTTATTATCATTTAAACGAATTGTACTTATACAATTATAATTATATTGCATGCATTTGTTTACTTTAACTGTAGATTCTCTACAATTTTATACTCGAAATTTTCGTTAAAAATAATAGATATGATTGAGAAGAATTCCAATTGACAAAATAATT